TTTGTGGTCTCAGTTGTATGCGGGATAATCTATGCATTTTATTGTGAGAAAACATATTGCTTGAATACAATCTATGCATTTGTATATACTTCATAATGGCCTTGTTATCTAAATAAAGGGAACAATGAGGACTTCTTAAATCAGTTGGTGGACCCTACTCTGTGAATGTAGGTGCATTGAATTAACAATTTATTTTTCGTTATTTACATTTGTAAAGCATTCAGAAATTACTTTTGACAGATATGCGCTCCAGTGTTAACAATCATTAGAACATATTATACAATATATAGTACAGTATTCAAATCTAGAATACACAGAAAAGATGAAAAAGTAGTACATTGTCAGGCTACATGGTCTGTATTCTTGACATCTTTTTACCAATTATTTCCTTCACTTTGTCCAACTTTTCAGAGAATATACATCAAATAATTGAACTTGTGTTCAAGAACAACTAATCCTGACCAGGAAAATATTTTCATTAGCTTAATATTGTTTTATTTTATTTTTTTAAGTTGTATAGTTGTCACAGGTTTGAGTGCTCTCTTCATCTGCTCTCTTTTACTGCTCACAAAATCCAAACTTTTACAGTTGAAAAGCGGATTGTTAAAGGAGGATAGCCATTCAGGAATTCCAGAGAGTAAGTGATGACCAGGCTTAGAGAGCAAATGCAATGCCTGCCCCACTGCAATCCCAGTAACAAGCAAAACTTCTAAGAGTATGTGGCTGCAGTTTTGAGAAACTCAGGCAATAGCTGCCAATAATAAGATTACTTTTTGAGCAACAAAAGGATCCTTAAACCCGGGTGATCAGTTTTCTTCATCCCTCTTAAATAGCAGAAAGTAGCACATAGAATATCAATATATTAGATATAGGATTGGTACCTGAGCTCCGTACTGATACCAGCGCTTTGAGCAGTATTAGCAGCATTTTAGATACTGGCATCGCTGTCAGAACGACTTTCACTGAAAGCCAAAACTGATTACAAACAAGCAATTCAGGTAAGTATAATTTTACTGTGAGCTAATGCTTTATTACAAAGGATGGTGTGATTATAGAATTTTACCGGAAAAACACTACACTAAAATGTTGTGAAGTTTGTGAAAAATAATGTTTACAGTAATCTATTGTGCAAGCATCAATTTCACAGTAGAATACTCAATTATAGTATTATATTGCAAATATTGTAATACAGTCTTGTAATGTAAAAATACAGATATTTATTGTGAAAATTTACAGTTAGATGCTGTGAGATCCTGGTAATATGTTACATTGATAACAGACAAGCGAGTTCCCTACCTCTGTAGGCGAAGGGCATTAGGTCCATCTGTTTTCGAGAATACAGCTGTGTTATGTACTATAAGCTCCCTGCAAAGCTCTTGGCCTTGAAGGGCGAGTGCAGTTTAATTATTTTATTCCCAACTTTGGAGCTTATGATTTTAATCATAATCATAGATACAAACTTTACTCCATAAACTTTTCCTTGAACTCATCTCCCAGGCATTTACTCACTCTGGGGATCAGCCGTTGTTTTTAAGTTGTCAAGTGTATGTCGACACAGAGTACCGTGTTTAATTAGGCAAAAACCATTGACTTTGTTGGTAAGTTAAAATACTGAATCTGAAAAGAGAAATTGTTTTAAAACAGTTCTTTGAAATAGAGGGTCGATTGCTCCAAATTCACTTAAATAGATAAAAGTTACTGATTTTCCAATAGATCTACAAAATGTGTGAGTTCAGCACTAAAAAAAACTTCTCCATATATAAAAGTAAAAAAAAAGCAACAAAAAAACACAATACCTAAAACTATAAATTTTACCACGCAATATAAATCTGGAATACTTTCCAGACTTTTAAAAAGAAGCACCAAGATCACACAGAAGATATTTATTATGATCCTCTGAATCTGCCAGTTTTTAGAAGGTAAAAAAATCTCTTAGCCTATACATTGACTAAAAATACTTAAAATAACTATCATGAATTTTATTAATTTACCGATAAAACAATGTGCTGAAATTAATTGAAAAAGGTCTATTTGTATAAAAACAGCTTTGGGGATCATGATTTAAGATTGTCAATCTCCTGTTTTTTTCTCATCTCGTCCCAAAACCCCAGAGAAAACATATGTTCTACAGCAGGGGTGCCCAACCAGTCGATCGCAAGAAGTTTTACAATGTAGACCTATTTATGGCTGACAAAAAAATAAATAAAAAAATGTAAAAAAACACTAATCAAATAATTGTTCAAGAGAGGCCAATGTGTATTTTCATAACAATAAAATGAAAAATAAAAAGTATGCAGGGAACCTTTTTTTATGCATGCTGATTGCTGGGCATGGTTTGTCACGGTTGCTAGGTTGTTACCAGGGACTCTAAAGCGCGAAGAGGAATTTGAAGAGATAATGAGATAATGACATCTATCACAACTGATGGGGCTCCATCTATGGTTGGGCGCACTGCTGGATTCGTTGCTCTGTTCAAGCGGTCTGAAACTTTCCCGGATTTTTTGAGCTACCACTGCATCATTCATCAACAACAGCTGTGCGGCAATATTTTAAATATGAAGCATGTCATGGACGTTGCGATGAAGATCGCTTGTCCTGTTTGGGCCAGGAGTTTTCAGAGGCGTTTATTCCGTGCACAGCTCAAGGAGGCAGGTGCAGACCACACTGATCTGCTGCTGCACACCGACGTCAGGTAGCTGAGCCATGGCAGGTTCTTTGAAAGCTTTTTGGAACTTTTGCCCGAAATTAAAGAGTTTCTGAAACAGCCAACAACCCATTCTGCCGTATGTTACATCTTCACATCCACATAGTTCGTACTTAGTATTTTCATATTTTTATCTGTTTTACTGTTGAATTTTAATCCATATGCCAGTTTCTCTGCCAATGCCAATGCCCAGTGAAGTTTATCATTCTGTAGAATCTACAGGATACTAGTCAATATGTGATTTGATGTGTAAAGTGTAGTTTGAAAAAAAAAAAGAAAAACGAATCCCTGTCCTTCAGTTAACACAAATTCTTGTGTAATTATTGCAAAAGAGGATTTTTCAGAATGCTGACTGTCATTATAAAATAACTGTTTTTTGCAGATTTTTGCATTGCAAGGGATATGTATAAGTGGAAAAAAACAAAAAAAAAAACTGATACATTTAAACCTACATTTTCTGAACCCAACACTCCCCATTGGGAAGAAACCTCTGGCACAACCAGGCTCAACATGGCGGTCTTCTGCCGGACCGGTTAAAATGAGATGTAGAAAATAAGAGTCTAGGAGGAATGAAACTCCTTTAGCTGAAACTGTCTTAGCTACGATGGTGGAGGAAGGGCTGGAGCTGGTTTGAAACAGGGTCACCTGAATGAAGTCAGATACAGCACAACCACAGCCTGCGCACTAGGTAGCAGACAGGTTGTGGACCAGATGCCTTTTAAGATGAACTCTGGATGCTGATTGGCTTTTGTGGAGGCGTGGTTCAAAACTGATTGCCTGTACAGTATCATAGGCGGATGAAGGTGAGTAATCAGTTTATTCAGTTGAACTCCATTTCACAATGAAGTGCACAACAAAGTTTTCTTATTTATTTTCAGCAATATTCAAACTGACAGCTCAAGGAATCTCAATTACATATGTTACATATTAATAACACTTATAAAACAATGTAATTGGTAAGACATAAATGTATAACATAAATGTATAACACACACACATATATATATATATATATATATATAGAGAGAGAGAGAGTGAGAGAGAGAAGAAGGATTGATATTTTTGTTACGAAGATTTCCATTTTAGAATTAAACTTTAAAAAGCAACATTCTCAATGAAAAAAAATCATAATAATTTTAAATATAAAACTTTTTTATTTAATATACATCTTGAAGAAGCACACACTTCAAAATATCTAGTTTAAATTTTTGAAAGCTAAGATCAGTTTAAGACACTGTAGTCTAGACTTAAAACTAATCTAGTCTAGACTTAAAACTAAGAAATGGGCATTACAACTTTATCTTATCAAGGATGATTAATTTTTAAAAATACTAATGGAAAGATACTTTTCAATCAGTTTTTTACTGCAGTATATAATACATTTCTGATGCATTGCTTTTATTACATTGTAACCAAGTAACACATTTTTTGATAGTTTTTAATATTTATATGTTTTATATTCACAGAGGGGTTTATACCATTTTCAATCAGAGATAAATATTGAGTTGTTTTGATAATAGTTTTAAGCTGAATATGCCAGGGCTATGAATAATTTAGGTTTAAAATAATTTGTTGTGTATAATGGCTTTGTGTCAACAAAACTGTTCTTTTCTTCTTTTGCTTGCCACCTTTTGTACAGTGTTCAAAATGTCTTTTTTGAAGATAAATCACTTCTATTATGCAAAATCGTTTTATCATAACTTGTATTGGGACCTTTTGTTTTAAGACACGTAGCACTTCCCTTTTTGTCTAGCATTCTTACCCCTCAGTTCCTCTGGATGTGGAAGCAGTGCATCAGAGGCTTTGTGAAGCTCTGTAATGTCGTTTACCAGGCATGCTTTCAGAGATGAGGAACTGAAAACACTCTGCTCCAGATTTGATTCAATTTGAACTGATTTGATTCCATTTATATTGAACTTAGTATTTTTTATGAGATGCCAGTTCATAACATGTCATCTAAATGTATTTTACAATGAACATTTAATCAGAGACAACTTAAATTTGATATGTTGCTGATGGAGCGACAATGTCTCTTGGCTGCCCTGGGAACACTTTGGGCTTCCCCCAGCAGAGCTGGGGTTAGTAGAGGTTTGCGAGTCAAGCCCCTGTGAAACAGCGCTGCCTGACTAAGGGGCAGCAAATCAGCTTTCAGATCCAGAGAACCCATGGTGTTACAAAAGTTTTAGGACTTGCATGTATTGGTTGAAAAAAAAAAAAAAAAAAACAGTTTTTACCATGTTTAGACAAATATAATAATTTTTCATTACTTTTAGCTGTGAGACAGAGCCTTTTTTTCCCATAAAAACATTTACAGAAATTGCAACAGTTTTAGCAATGCTACATGTTATTGTTATGTATGTTCTTACTATTTTTCTATTCTTTAATTATATAGTTATCACAGGCTGAGTATTATCTTCATCTGCATCCCCCACCAGTTTTTTACGATCTACCAAATCTGGCTGCAACCCGGTGTTCCTAAAAAGTGGGTTGTCAAAGGCAGTTAAGCCTCCAGGGAGTGATATGGGTGCTATATGACGGCCAGACTTCTTGAACAGGAAGAGGGCAAAGCCAGCTACCACTGCAGTCCCAGCAATGACTAGAGCAGCTATTAAACCTGGGTGAACCCGACCTTCAAGAGGTTTGTCAACACCTGTAAAAATTGAGAGAGTAATTAAGGAGAAACAAAAGATAATTTGGCCAAATATTGAATACTGAATTTGGAAAAAGAATGACATACTTGGTACTGATGATGACACTGGTGGTAATACTGTAAAGAAAAGTGGACATAATCCAAAAGTACACAAATTAAAAATCATTTTCAGTTTAATCAGTTTAAACACCAGATTTATAAACAATTGTTACAAAACTAAATGAAGAAGATCAATATCATCAATGTTTTTTAAACTGTGTATAAAATGCTATTCGGGTTTTTCCTGTTTTTTTTTTTTCAGATGATCTAATATAGCTGGAAAAGACTTACATCCTTTTTCTAAAATTATAGAGAGCTTGCACTTTCTAAAATGGAGATTTCCACTTTTATATCTACTTATCATTAAAACATTTAAATAGTTAGTTTGCTCACAAATGTAATATATCAATTAAATCTGTTAATGTAAAAAATCCAAACAACAAGATAGATACATGGAAAAGAAAAATATTAAATACAGGAAGCATTCATTTTCAATTATTTTAAATATGTTCTATGTGCGCCTATATGTCCTTTTATACAGCATAAATATCCTGTTTCAAAATATCATAAAGACAGAACCTTTGATGTTTAAATTCTAAAAGCATGTACAAAAGTGTATTACTTGTGAACTGAAGAGCAACAATAATATAAAAAAATAATATTAAAATTAAAATATGATTAATCTGTCATGATTCTGATGTGTTAGTTTTAGGGTTTCTATAGTGCTTGTTTCATTGTGTCCCTAGGTTTTCATTGTTTTGCATGGGTTTGACATACCTTGTTAACTTTTGTGTTTATTATTATTTATAAGGTTTTTCTAAATTAGTTACTTCCTTTTAGGTTAGATTTCTTAGTTTTGTCTGTTCTTAGTATATTTTGAACCATTCTTGTTAGTTTTTGGTTAGATTGTTTCCATTGGTTTGATTGCATGCAATTGGTTTGACAACATGCAATTATTAGTCTTCCTTAGTTTTCATGGGCTCCTTCCTCTACAGGTAATTGAAATGATTCCCTTGGAGATGCATCTGTTAGTTCTGCTGTTCCTGCGTTCAATGACAGAGAGTGGATTTGCTATATTTGCTGTGATAAGTGGGTAAAAAAGTAGTTTTAGTATATTTTTATGTGTAAGTCCACCTTAAAAATACCGTCTGTGCAGTCAGTTCATCAAGATTATGCTCATGCCTTAGAATATTATTTCCCTGTCAGAGGCACGCAGACCCCCACATAGCGACTCTGCGCTTTAATTCGGAATCCCCAGGAGCAGCTACCTCAGCCCCGATTGTCTCTTGGGGATTTCCCCAAACTGCAGGCACCAGGATAATAAAAGTAAACATATTTTGCCTTAGTTGACATTTTAAGTTAACTTAGGCATTAATAAACAGTTTCAGTGAAGTGATCATAGCCCTCCACATCAGCAGTGCTGTGCCCATCACCCTGCCAGCTCGCAGATCAGCTTCTCTGATTGGTTGATGTGGTGTGTCAAGCTGCAAAAGTTAAATTCTTCCAACTCCAGCATCTGCTGCTTGTGACATTTTGAATATTTGAGCGAAGTTTCCGGTGGAAAATTATGGCTTACCAAAGCGTAAATCCCCAAAACAGGGCATATTATTTCTATAATTTTTAGTAAAGGGCATACATACATACATATGTACGCATGTGCCCATCGCTAGTTAAAAGCCTGGTAGAGCAGAGACACAACAAAAATATGTTGGATAATTGGTCCTGAGAACCAGGATTGAAAATTACTGGTTTGACCTACTTAATTTGTTAATCTTGCATAGACAGACTTTTTACACATTTTACCATGCATTTTAAATAGTTTTAATAGTTTAAATGTATTAATGCCAGTTTTTTGGAGTTAACTGAATTTTCATGTAAGATAACTTTGACACCTATTAATAGACATACAGTCTGGATTCCTTTTGGGCATACCAGTTCTTGAGACTGTATTTTTTTTAAATATCAGCATGCAGTCTGTGTGTGATAAGAGGTTAATATTGCTCTAGATTCCAAAGGTCTAATTATGACATTATGAATTCGCATAGAATATAGCAATTCTTGTATTCAGAAGGATAAAAGATGTATACAGTAAAACATTCAATAAACTAAATAAAGCTATACTAAGTATTAGACATTTTATTAATATTCCACTGAATATTCTTAGAAGACTGATTGAACTAAAATACTTGGAAATCAGATTAAATACATAGTTACATTTTACCTTTAGCAGTTTTGCAAATGTATGCCTTATCATGCCACCGATGCCCTGTAGACCAGGACCCATCTGATGCACTGATCGAACCATAGGGATTATCACGAGGTTGACCACTTTGCCAGTTGGAATAATCCATAACTGTTTTATCCGACCACAGCCATTCTCCTGCAGAAATAAATTTATTTATGTTGTTATCATTTATGCTTTAATCTATAAAGGACTCATGGGTTTTAAAAATAGATTTCTCATCCCAACCACCAGATTCATAACAAAAAAAAAAAAAAAAAAGAACAGCAGTTAGTTATTCATTCAGGATTTCTTATTTTAAAATGCCTTACAATTTTACAATTTTACTGTAAAATAAAAAAACAACAATACCTTTATGAGTTTTGAATAGCCCAATCCAGTATGATGTGTGCGTGTCTTTAAATGTTCCAATGTTGCTTTGTATGAATTCCTGTTCATGGGGGTCTGCGATGCTGGCAAGAACTCCACCTTACAGTAACAAAACAAACCAGTCATTATGTTTGTGGGTGCCACTTAAATGTAACCTACTAAAAAAGAACTTATGCTGAAAATACCTACCATGTGCTAAACAGCTGGTAGATGCATCTGGCCACTCTTTCTCATCAGAGAAAAATAAGTAACAGAAACCTCTGTAAGGTTTCCAGAAATTGCGCTGCAGAGAGGTACCTTGATCTGGGTCCTCTGGACAAATTCCGGGATAGTCCTTTGTGTCATCTTTTGGTGGTGTGTCTGTGTGTTACATAAATGGGGTTAAAACTGATCCAAAATTACTTTTAAAAATTTCAATAACATATAAATAACTAAACAGCAACAGTTTCCTGGGATGTAGGACTTTGCCCTGAAACTCCAGGGTTGTTGGTTCAAGCCCTGGCTCCTGCTTTTAATGTTGTTGAGTCCATTTCACCAGCATTACCTACTCATGGTGGTCAGATGCCTTGGTGGTGCCGGCGTACGGCAGCCTTGCTTCTATCAATGAGTCAGGACAGTTGTGGCTACATTGTAGCTTGTGTGCGTGAATGGGTGGATGTCTGAATGTAATGTAAAGCACGGGTCAAGACTCCTGACACGAAAAAGCACTATATACACTGAAAAGAATTTAAAGTATCATTTACTAGAAAACGCTATGTAACCTTTTCCTCATTGAAATTCTTTAGTAATTTTACTCAATAAAATCTAAGTTGATTTTACTGACTAAGAAGAAATGATCTGACCAACTCAAGAAGATGTTGCTACCAAATGTCTCTTCTCGGTTATGATCTGGCGTGATTCCTCCTCCTTAATTGTTTATTTCATTCACCTGCCACTCCCTTCCTGCCGTAATTATCATTTATTTCATTCACCTGTTTTCTCGACTTTATATTCAATTCAGCCTGAGCATTTGCGGTCAGATCATTGTTTGTTTTCTGTTTCTTTTCTGTTTTAGGCAGTTAGTCAGTTTTTTCTAGTTCTTTTCATGGTTCCTAGCAGCCAGTGGAAAGAGAGGGTTTTGTGTGTGTCTTGTCTCCTAATCGTGTCCTGATCCTTCCCCACGGAGTCCTCAGGGTTTTGGCTCAGTACGCGGAGAGGATCAGTTTTATTCCCGTAAGCCTGGCTCCAAGGAGGAGACCAGTTTAAAGTTCTGCTCATCCTGGTTCAACATCTTGTCTCTGTTACCCTCAACCACTGAGCCTGCCCGTCTGCATTTGAGCCTGTTCTGTATCTGTATGTGACGCTTGGTCCCGCTTCTGGATAGGGTTGTCACGATACTAAACTTTTCAACTCGATACCGATACTAAGGAAAATATTCGATACTCGATACCATTTTCGATACCTCAAGAATAAAAACTCCAAATTTCAAAAGAAATATTTTGATAAATAATTAAAATACAATAAATAAACACAATAAACAATAAGCACAATATTTTGAGGTTGTATGCTGTGCACAATATTAAGCAAGCTTGATAAAAAACTTATTAAATTAAAATTAAGTTTTCCTTACTTAGCTATGCTTTACACACATAACAATGACACTAGCCAAACCAGTAAAGAAACAAAAATAATTCTCAGCAGCTGCACCTGTTACAAAAAAAGTCTGAAACTAAAAGTTGCAAAGAATTATTCAATCACACAGTGTTCTGAAAGTGCATTGTCCTCTATTCTGCACTTTAGATGAATGACTGTGTAGGTGCCACTGGTGGTGGCACTGTATCGATACTTTTGAAAATGAGTATTGTATCCGGATACAACGTTTCAGTATCGATACTTTTTTGAGTATCGATACTTTTGACAACCCTACTTCTGGACTCTGTCGGACTCTGAACCTGCCTGGTAGCTCTGAGGATTCCTGGAAGCCTGGATCCAACTGTTCCTGTCTGGTCTGGCTTCCCCTGACTCGGCTTCCTGCCAGTCCTCCGGAGCTGCAGCACCGGGGACCTTGCGGTGAATACTGGGTCCATCTGTCCCTTTTATGACATTAGCAACTAAGATGTACTTTTGTTTTGCTAGTAAATTTTACTCATCTCATTTTATTCATTTCCAAACCTTTTCTATTTCTGAAACTATAATGAGTCTAACCTTTGTGGAGTTCTGTTTGGGTTTCTTTTTAGTTTTTCAGTTCACTTCGATTTGTGTTCTGTGTATTCTTGTTCATTGGTTTCTTTTCCATTTTGTTATATTTAAGCAATGTCGTATTTGTGAGTTACACACATTTATCTCCTTGTGCCAATCTCCTTTCCCTTAGCTCCTTCTAGTTACTTCTGTCTACACATGCTCCCTACAAGTGAATTACTCCTCCCATTGTTTCTGTCTCGCAGATATACACCTGTTGAGTTACTCCTTGCTGGTTCCTTGCCGTTTCTTGGCCCCTTTTGTGTGTTTTCCCTGACGTCTTCTGGTTTTTGGTTTTGTATTTTTTTGGGATTTTTACTTCTATTGCTATGTTTTGGTAATTAAATCTGCAAGAAACCACCTCAGCCTCCATCTCTGCATTTGACTCCTCTGAAAACCTCCACTCAACCTGAACTCAACATGGTCAGGCAAGGAAATAAGCACCAAGTTTACTCCTAATGTCCAAGTACATTTTACTTGCATCTGTTAAGTTGGGAATTTAAATTGTTTTACGAACATTATTTGGTAAGAATAATAAACTCTAACACATTAAATAAAATGCGTAATTTTGAAGTAAAGGCACTTATATGGTAATTTGCAGTAAATTTGAAATAAAAACCAAAATACTATTTACAGGACATAAACGTCAAATTCTTTCAGTGTAAGTACAGCCCATTTAAATAAAGGAGAATGTAAAGAGTTTATGTCAACTAATTAAAGGATGCACATTGTTTTCATATTTGTCAAGTGGAAAGAAATTTTCCTTTACCTGTGGACTTCATGCAAACGCTGCTTATGTTCCGATTGCAGTTATCAGCTTTCCATTTTCCATCTACATCAACATAGACACAATTTCCTTCTCTACGTGGTTCTCTTGGACCCCAGTATGCAGATGTCATTGGCCAGCCTTCAATGTATCTGAAGTAGTTATTAGTCTAGAAGCAAATAAAAATAATAAAAATTTCATCAAAATTATTAAAATTGTAGAAGATATTTTCACACAAACTTCATCAATATCACTGTCAGATGACCAAACATCACATGACCTTAGTCCTCTCTGGCTAAGAGGACAAAGCTTCATAAACATGGTATTGCCACAACATTAATTCAAATCAAAAACATTGTTTGAAACCTGTCCCAATCTTATTTACACTTTATCTTCCTTTCATTTTTGGATAAAGGTTTTCTGTGCTATTTGCTTGTTCCTCCAAGTCATGAACTTTCAAAATCAATTCAGCCTGAGCATTTGCGGTGGTTTTAAAGATCCCCTCAAAAAAGTGTAGCAAAACCTATGTGGATATTGATTCCAATGGCTTTACACTGGGCTGGAATAGAAACTGTCCGTCTTACTGACATAATGCCAGAGAGAGTATGCGGGGATGAGAGACTCCCAAATTGCCATATCAACACATAGATTACCATAACAGGGGCTTAGAGGATGAAAAACGATAGTAACAATATTAGTACTCCTTTTTAGGTTCTGTTCCTGTAACCATGTCATGACAGCATTAGATCTTACCAATTTGAGCAATTCATTAGAATCTACAAAAATTTTGTCTGATATCAAAGGATCTTAAGCCCATACCAGTGCTTTGTTGAGTCCAATCCATAGAGGACGATTGAGATTCAAAGCCAGCAGCTCAATGTAGGCCTGTGTCCACTCCGTTCGAATGCTAGCCAGCTTGGCACCATCAGCCTCACAGTTCTTCTGAGCTGCATCCCAGTTCATTTGCTGAGGAACAAGCTTGATGGAGTCATTAATTATTTTAAAGTAGTCGTCAAGGGTTGTTGGTTCAGAGGGATCCTGTAGATTTGGTTCTGTTTTAAAATGGAAATGAAAAATACATTTCTTTTTTGTTTGTTTTTACATATAATACCCAAAAACATCATAGCAAAAAATTTTATTTTAGGAAGCTGTTTTTTGGGGGCGAATGACATCAAAACTTTCTAAAGAAAACATTGAGTTCTCAGAGTTAAATGATTGATATCTGACAAAGAGCTAATTTTGTTTGTCACTTGGAATTTTCTTCTCATAATTTACTGCTGCTTTATGTCTTAGCTGAAACTGAAAATTAATAACAAGGCAGAGAGAATTCAGTTAAACCCTGACTGAATTCTGATGGCCGAACACATAGGTGGAGTTATTCAAATTAAAATTGCCTTTCATTATTTGAGAAATGAAAGCATGATCAACTTTAAAAGTGTTTTTTCTTACCAACATCTTTTAGACATACAAATCCATTGGTGTCATTGCATGACTTGGGTATCCATTTTCCAATACCAAGTGAAGGATTAGTGTTGATCACTGCGCATTCTACATCCTGTTGGACACAACCATAGAGAGACGTAGTTTTTAACCAAACATTTACTGAGTTAAGTATAGAAATGTAAAAAAATTCCATTTAAAAGAGCACTTACCTCAGAATGAAACATCCGAAAGTACTAAAAAAATTCCAAATATTGAAATTGATTAAAAAATAGTCTTGATATTTTTGATCAAAAATAGTGGCTATTTAATTTAACTTTGAGTTTAATAGCTAAATGATTTGGTTCAATAACATGACATGTTAGGTAGTTCTCATCATTCTGTGTCTTTGACTTATCCATGGTCAAATACTCAATGTAACACATGCAAAACAAAATGAATGGTTTGTTTCTGACATACATACAAGTTTGAAACTCCCAAACCATAAAAATAGTTTGAAGAACAGGAGGAAAGTAAACATTGCTGTAATATAGCATATATCTTTATCACAATTTTAATCAATAGTTTGGCGGTGCTTGATTTCTTTTCTTATTGTCAAGAATTCTCCTCCTAATTGGATGTGCATGAAAAATTACTATAGAGTTTGCCCCAGGAAGTATATTGGGTAGATCGACTAAAATCACAAAATAATGAGAAACATCATATCTACTCTGCTTTGGACTTTACCTTTACCCCCTCCATTGTACGTCCTAAACTAGGGCCTAAAGGTGCCTACAAAGTCACATTATTTGCAAAAGAAATATCTTTTCTGTGCTTAAACCTGTGAAGTTTAGAAAGACTGTTATGGCCTTCAGTAAAATAAGTCCATACTTGTGTCATGGAAGGATCATTGTAATTCTTTGTCCTCTGTAAGCCCAAAATGTATGGACAATTCGTAAGCTCATTCCAAATTCATAATTTATGTACAGACTACATTGAAAAATATTCAAATTAAATTCAAAATATAAGTCTTTGACTTATAGACCCTTTTTCTGCCAACATCACAGTAACCCAAAAATTGTAGCTGGAGACAAAACAAACCAACAACTGGAGGTAAAAAACAAACACTACAGGATAACCTATACAAGAGGCTTAAAATTGCATCTTGTCACTTTTATTTAATACCCGCTGCCACTGCGATGCAATAACCAGGAAGGTTAAGGTAAATGAAGCATTGTGTATCATTGGTTTGACTGTGATTTGGTTAAAGGTATTGTGGAGAATTTTTCATGCATTTTTTAAAAGACCCGCCCTCTCTACTATTAAAAAATATGTGCTTGGAAGAGCATGCACAAGCCCATTTCTCCTTGTGCATGTTCTATTTAAAAATTGACCAAACTTCCGCCCGAAACCCTAAATCCCTCAATCACTATATAGAGCGGGGACTATATAGTGGACTTCATAGCAAACTCAGTTAAATCACTGTTCGAACAGATGATCACTGCTTTTTTGCCCTGTTGGTCACGTAACTCCTCCACCTCTGTGCGGCACCTGTGCCATCTTTGTTATAAGTCGCTGCTGTCAGACAGTGACAGCCTATGGTGACAGCGGGTCGCTGTGACAGCAAAACAAATAATGCTTTGCGAGGAGATCTCTTCGCACAAAGCATTCCAGGATTTATCTGCCTCTTCTGAGGCCTTTCTTTTCTTCTCATACACTTCGTAGACACTTTTTCTCCTACGACTCTCTGCCATTTTTAAAGAATCGCAGTGAGAAAGGTGAGCTTCAGGGACTGTCGGAAACCGTAGCTCACCACACATATATATACGGCTGAAAGTGCACATGAGAAAAAACAAAAAGCTAGCTAACTGGGCGAGCACGTAGGACGGCCTTACGTAAACATATCACCAGAATGATTGAGAATTAGGAGGACCACTTATTTAGATGATCCACCCGGAAATAACAGATTGTCCTCTATATTTAAAAGGAGAAAAAAAATCAAACAAAAGTTTCTAGATACCATTGTTTAAGTTTTCACACAGTTTTTTGACCAGCCCTCTGCAACAGTCACTATTTAAAATATGGCCTGTTTGAGTAAAAGAAACTGCCAACACCTGGTGTTGTCAACAGTGGCACAGCTTTGGGTAATTTCCTTCTAATGGTGGATGGATGGATGGATGGATGGATGGATGGATGGATGGATGGATGGATGGATGGATGGATGGATGGATGGATGGATGGATGGATGGAAGAGAGCAACTTACCCGATCTTCATAGTCCTGAAAAAGCCAACACATTTTGAATCATCATAAAAGGGCTTTGAAATCTTACAACAAACATAATTAATAATAATATATTATTATATTATCATAATATGTTTTTCTCAGTGGTACAGATTAGGTATTGACCTTGATTAAGTAATAAACATATATTCTTTATTAGGTCAACTAGGAAGTTTTGCTCTTCTGTTATGTAGGTGGTTGTTAAAATTGTGAAGTAGTAAGAGACATGTCTTGGAACCATTAGTTATGCATAAGTAAAGGTGAGTGCTTTGATGTTACCATAAAAGGGTCTCTGTGACGTAAGAGTGTATATCGATCTCGTACCTATAAGGGAATACAAAATGTTAATGTTTTTTTGTATATTAATCTAATAAATGGTTTAATTTGATTTTTTTCAAATTAACAAGTAAAGCTGAAAATTTTTACATCACCCGATAGCGTAAATGGGGTGGAAATCTAGAACGTTCCTAAAATAGAAAACAGAATGTTACATCTTTTAATTGAACTTTAATTGAATCAATCAAACGCTATTTCTGACACTTTGAATTGAAAAAGCTTCCTGGATGGGAAGCGAAACACATCTTTAAACTAACATAGTCCAGTGGATTGTTTTTTATTTTTTATTTTTTTTAAATACATTACAAGTGTTTGTTTCAAATAGAAGACAGAAATCACACAACAATTACTTACAGGAAATTTGAGGTTGATGTATTTCTTTGGCCGTCCATCAGTCCAAAAAAATCCCTCTTTGTAGGAATTATGAAAACCAATCCACAGGTCTGTAGTTGGAGTGCTGACCATTTCAGACATTAAATACACTAAAAAACAGATAACAAAATTTTGATCAAAGATAATCAAAAATTTCTTTTTAAAAAGAACAAAACATTTCTGTAAAGATTCATATGGATTTTTTTAATCATTTGTGCCAATCCATATACCTAGGCTTCACAATGAAATGCAAATTGCCAACAACTTTCTGTATTTAAATATATTGCTTACTTTACTGAAATACAGAGAAGGTGATGACGCTGAGCTTTTGTATGAAATATTAAAGGAAATACCGTAATATTAATGTAAAATGCATATGCCTTATTCTCTCTCTTTCTGTCTTTTTCTTTCTATATATATATATATATAGAAAGAAAAAAAAAAAAATATATATATATATATATATATATATATAAATTCAGTAAAAAATTTCAGTATTACATTCAAAAGGTAGTATGCGTTGGTAATGTTTAGGTTAGGAAATAGTTGAAAGTGATTGAAAATAATTGAAAATCTGGTCAAGTCAAAGGAAGTCAACAGATGGTCCTCAATACATAATATAAAACATTCATTAATTTTCAAAATCTTTTGTGCCAAGTGTTTTTATCACACAGTCAGAAATATAAAACATCCTTTACTGGTGTATCATTAGCTTGTAAAGATTGTGGATGTATATTTTTTTTATAATATAAAAAGAGTTTGTGTAAAAAGTGTATCAGACCCCACACATAGAATGAACGGATTCACTTGCAACTGTAAAAAAGGGTTAACTGATGAATGGATTTAGGTTAATAACTTAAAGGGATAGACTTGTTTAAATCTATTACAATAAAACAAACCTTGCTCATGTCTTGAGGATATGGAGGCCAGGTTTCCATTCATGTCTTGGCATTCTTGCCTAGCTGCATGCCATGTTAGGTTTTGTTTTTTTATGATCTTGTAGCACTGAAGTTAAGACATAAAACATAATGTACACCTCACGTGCATAAAAAAAAAATACAATACAGCTTCAAAACAAAAATAAACACATAATCTAAAACTTAATACCAGAGGAACAGTTAAGGTAAGTTTAATAATTCCCTGTACATTTTAAGCAAAAAGCTTATAATAATACTGAAAGTGATTATATTTAGGATAGCATGTTTAGAAGTTAGAATAGAGTAGAATGCATAAAATAATAAAATAGAACAGAACAGAATAAAAATATTCAATTTCTTTACACTTGTAAATCAACAAATACTTGATAAACCTTATTGCTTGTGACATTTAGCATCTCAGTTAGAGGTGCTAAAAGTCTGATTTTGTGCTTCAGTTTTACTACCGGTATATCTTTTCAGCAGAGAATTTTTACCTTATAGTTCATCTTTTTCCAACCAGTTTGGCAGCTGCCATTTTTTGGCATTGTCGGGGCCACAGTAGCATTGACATGAGGTGAGCCACTGCGCTTACAAATAGATTTATGTTCATATCCACAGTTATAATCATGCCAGAACCCTGTAAAAAGTTACAAGTTAGAAAATATAACTTTTCTTTCTCCTGTTGTTCCTCTGTAAACTTGTAGAGATAGATAAAGCTAAACTGAATTTTAATGGACAAGGCATTTGTAAGCATTACCAAATGTGTAACAAACATGAACATTTCCTTCACTGTCAATAGTTATAAACTAAATATATTTTGTTAAATGGTTTACTACATTTTCAAAGGTAGGAGTGATAGAGAAAATGATAAACAGCATCCAATATGTTATTTATCTGCTGTTTTTAAGCAAAGTGGTCTTTTAAACCTCTAAAGCATACCTCCATTCAAATTTCCACTCATAACAGTTTTACAACATTTGAGTTACTTATATATGCAGTTGCCTACAAAGAATTGTCCTCTCCTCAATTTCTTTGCACTTAAAAAATAATAAATCAAAAGTATAAGAAGCAGTACCTGTTTAAAAATGCATAAAAAATAATCCAGCCTATCCTAAAGCCGAAAATCTTCAAGAAATAACTGCTGGAAGAATTTTAAAAAGAAAAACTTGATACAAAAAAAAATTACTAAGCAGTAAGAAATCATTAAAAAGGATATAGGAATTTTTAAAGTCAATAGAAATGTTGCTTTTTCTAATGTCTTCATTATTGTTCTGATTTGAACCTTTCTATAAAGGCAACAAAGGCAATTAAAAACAAAGAGTGTAAAAGATAAGTTTTTGTGAGTTTTGGCCAATATACTTAAGGGAAATTTATATAAATGTGAAATGAATAGTAGCACTAGTATCATGTAAGTATTGAGGTTTTAAAATAATTGGGCTGTTAAGAGTTTTTATAATTATTTTTGTGTTATTTATATATTTTTTATTAGTAAGAGCTGATGAGTAGCTCATTCTTTATCAAACAGGCCTACTTTCTTGCTTTTTTGTCAAAAAAATTATAAAATAAATATATCTTATTTATTATCACAAGGAAAAGCAAAAACCCAAATTAGATAAAAAATAAATAAATAAATAAAAACCTAAACCATGTAAAAGTCAGTAAACCACTACTGATTAAAACTGTTTTCTTCCATCTTTTCTGTTACTAAAGTTAAATTTGAACCTTTTATTTTCAGGCTGGTTTAGATGAGTGTTCTTTGAAAATTGCATTTGTCTAAAGGTGTCTTGGCGTTGTAGAGTTTTCAGAGCCAATGGTTTATTTGACCTTTTATGGTCATTACTGATGATACTGAATCATCATAGATTGTCAGGGATCATATTTTAAAGAACATATGTTATAGTGAATTTGTTTATCAGTGTTTGTATTAAAATTTGTACTTACCATGGAATGTCCTCATAACAACACAGTTTTCATCAGAGTTTTTGAAACTGGGTTCGTCAACATCCCACATTTGAAAAATGACTGGAGAGCCATCCATCCATCTTAATACAGCAAAATATACAACAGTCAAAAACAACATATGTAACTAAAAACTAGCTAATTAGAAAACTTTATTGGATTCAATACTATAAATCAGTTACTTTCCATTGATTTTTAGTTACAAATTTTTTGAAAGGAACTCACAAACAGGATGATTTATGGTTTTTTTTTTTTTTTCTCCCCAAGACATGTTTAGAATATTTACTTACTGAAATGATTTGTCAAGATCCACCGTCAGACCAATCCAAAAGGAACCCCACTTTTTGGATATCTGAACTCAAACAAAGGTTTATTTTAGATTTTGAATAAAGAACGTATATATGACAGAAATTTGCAAAGTAGTTCATAAGGTAAATCAGTTCTTTACCAGTTATTTGTGTAATTCCAATAAAAGGTTAAAAACACCTGGATTGAAACTTTTGATCTCCATCTAAAGACTTTTTTTAAACTTAGGACTTGTCAGGGAAAATTTTTCCGTGCTTTAAACTGTTCGGAAATGACCTTTAAATTCACATGCAGAATTGACTCCACCAAACAATCAGATGTTACTACTGCCATTGCTGGCCTGGGAGACTAAGAGTTATTTACTTGCAAGAAGTATGAAATATTTTGAAATTGTAGGAAATACTTTGTTGAAGGTTAACTTCTCATTAAGTTTCATTTTTTATTATGTTACTGCTTGTACATATATTTTTTTTTTACATCCCGCTGCCAGCTCCTTTCTCAGCTTTTTAAATTCCTTTTCCCTTCCTGATGTGGAAAGTCAAAAGTCTGCTTGAGTGAAACTCCTTTACTTAGAGCTGTTGCTTTACTGTCTCTTTTGGTTTCCTTTGAAGACCAGTCATAACCTGTGAAATTCCTTGTTATCTGTTTTAGAAACTGCAGTGTGGGGCAAGATGATCTGTGAACAGCTTTCTGCTACCTTATTCAGATAATCTGTGATGTGGGAGACTGAAACCTGCAATTTTAGATGTTGGGAGATTAGATTGGTTGTAAGAGTCTAGTGCCTTGGTTTAAGTAGAAGTGAAACCAAGACATCCGGACTACTGCTGTTTTAAGAGCAGCTCTCAGGTGGCCTGAAAGGCGAAACGTTTCCTTCCTTTTTTTTGCATTTCCTACCGAATAAAAGACCAGGTTTAGAACAACTTCATATAAATTACCCAATAAAACTCTTAGTAACCCCTTGTTAACGATGGAAGTAAGAACCATTTTTGAGGGATTTTATTATTTAAATTCCATTTAGTTTTTCCAACTTTAAAAACTATGATGGTAATCTTTAATATGAAATCCCAATAACATGCATAAAATTTAAAGTTTGTGTGATAAAATCTCAAAAAATTTCAGCTATATAAAGAATTTCAATCATACTGTACATCAAAAATGGCTAATTAAATAGCAATGAAGAATTTCATAAATATATGCTGCAAAAGATTAACTTTTTTGTGAGTTAAATTTTAATATAATAATTGAATAGTATTATTTCATGATGAGGTAAGAATAAACCTACCTGTTTCCACAGAAAAATACGCTCTGCTTCACTGTCAATGGTTACAAGGTCACCATGCTTCTCTTTGCAGGATTGTCGAGCATCTTCATTGGCCATTGTTTTTGTTTCAAAAAAGTACTGATTTCCATTCCATTCCAGCCACCCATCTGAGGTACGGTTATAATCTGTTCATTTGCGATAACACATAATACATTAGATTTATTTGCAATTCTGAATTGTAGTTTCTTTGGCTAAGAGGACTAAGCTTCATAAACATGGAAATGCATCTGCATTAGGTCAAATAAAAAAACATATTGTTAACTAATCAAAAATACTTTTTT